TTGCTCCTAGTAGTAAGGCCAGGAGCCCCTAGTAGCGTCCTTGCTCCCAAGTGGTAAGGCCAGGAGCCCCTAGTAGCGTCCTTGGTCCTACTGGGAGAGAGAAAGAGAGAGAGAGAGTCTGCAAGATTATTGTATTTGTATCTTCGAGCTGTCGAAGAGCTCTCCCATCGTGGCGTGGCGGTGCCTCCCATCCTGCGCTTTCTCCCCGCTTCTCGTCGCACGTCCAGCTTATTGTTTCTAATAGCTTCTTGTTACTACTAGTAAGGCACTTGTTACTAGAAGCGATGCACTTTGTTCCTAGTAGCTTCTTGTTTCTAACAGATGGATTCCACGGACGGCAAGCAGAAGATCTCCTCCTCCGTCCTCGAGCGCTTCGTCTCCGAGGCGGGTCCGCCGGAAGGTTTCGGAGGTCCGGAGCAGTTGGCCCTCAAACCATGGGGTACAGTGGTTAGTGTTGTTCCCAAAGATGGCATTGAAAGGGCCGGGAAGGCTTGAACCGAAACCCAGTCAATGTCCGTGGCAGGTGCATGAGAACGAGGTGAAGGCTTTAAAAGACGAGGTCACGCAGAAGAACTGGCAGTTGAAGCAGATGAAGCAGGCGTGTAATTGTGAGACCTGGGCTGGGCTCACATGCTAGGGCGACAGCAATGTTTTCTTGAGAGGAGTGGAGGAGGTTAGCACTCTCCCGAGTTTTGAAAGACCAAATGAACCAAAGACCGCCAGCATCTCACTACCGCGTGAGCACCAAACAAAACGTGAGTCCGTCAGTCCTGTGGAGTGTCTTCTTTCAGGCGCAGAACTTCTTGGAGACCCAACTCTTGAAAAGCAGCTGGGTTAGAGGGATCTTTGGAGTGTCCAGTCTGGTGCAAGGGGTCAGGAAACCTCCAGAAAGCTTGCTGCTCTTTTTTTGGGGTCAAATACCTGGTGGGGGTCCTCCCAGATGTATTGAAGATAGCAGCGTACTGTCCCTTTCAACGTCTCATAGATACTGCTCTAATGGTTCCTGGGGAATGGTTTAGATCACCCAGTCGAACTCTGGTATTGACTCCAAATCGAAGTCCTTGGCATTTTCGAATGTCTGGACTATTCTCGACAACCCTTGCTGCCTCTGTCCCTTTCATGGTGTGCCCATTGGCACGCCATTGGTGCGATAAACCACCATTCATCCACGCCAGCTACCAAAGAGCCCACTGATGCTCCCTGAAGCAAACACGCCAATGACTACTCCGAACGGCGCGGGCCCTCACCGAGACACCCAGAGCCCGAACGAGCGGACCGCGGGGAGCCTGGAGAAGATGCTGCAGGTCACCGAGGCCCGGGTCACGGGACGAGACGGAAGAAGCGCCACTTCCTACCTTTCGCTAGGGACGCCGATTGGAGGGCCGAAAAAGGAAAAGAAAGGTACAATATAGTTTTAGGTTGGAGGCCATCGCTCTTAGGTTATGGTTCCTTTTTGCCGAAGGGGGGGGTGTGCGATGGATGGCTTCGGGGTCCAGGGGCATATGCGAGGGAGCGGAGAGGGAGCGGAGAGGGAGCGGAGAGGGGGAGTGTGGTGGACGGAAGTTTTTCGTTAGGGTGACTGGTGGGTTTTGGGATGTGGGATGATGTGGGGGAAGATCCGTGGAGCTGTGGCGTGCAAGGTTTGGGTGTTGGGTTGGGTGTCTTTAGGTTGGTGGGGTCGTCCAAAAAAAAAGGGCTCCCCAGGGCCAGACAGGCCACGCTGCCCGGCTGGGATGGGGAGCTCTCGAGCTAAGAGAAGAGTGGAGCCGGCTGGAGTGTTGCTGGGCAGAACTTGACAGGAGCAGCTGTCGCATGTCCGGGGTGCTTTCTATGACCTGCAGAAGGACCAGGGTTCAAGTTCATTCCGCTCGTGTGAGGTTGGATTCTTGAGCCCAACTCCCGGACTCGCTGGTGACCAGTCAAAGGGACGACAAGGGCAATTTGAGCTCCCAATGATTTGGACTACAATGCATGCCACGATTGCGATTTTCGTCCCTAGAGGTGAGGCAGGTTACAATAGCCAACCCGACAGTACTCATCATTTCGTTAGTACAATGTGACTGTCAGGGTGGTGGGTGAGATCGTGCCTAAAGGTCAGAACCGACCAGCAGACGATCATTCAACTTCTATTCACCAGCACAACTTTGCTGCGGATCTTCACGATAGATCGAAGACATTGAAGACATGCCATACTCATGTCCTGCCTCTCAAGCACGAGGAGGAGCACAGGCTCCGCGAGTTGTGTGAAAGCAGCACCGCGGAGCAGAAGGAGATGGCAGAGCGCTTGGAGCAGGTGCCTGGCATGACGAAACGGTGAAACGACTGGGCAGGGAAAATCGGAAGGACCTGAAATCTGGCTGATGCCAGCATGTTGTGGCTTTGGTGGTGGGAATGAGTATTATGGTGTGTAAGTGGTCTTCAACCCATGGCTGTGGCTCATGAATCAGACCAACATTTTGGTGACCATTTTCACAACCGGCATCCGCCCACTAAACCAGAGTCAGGGGAGTCTAATCACTAGGGCTTAGCGGCTTAGATTCCGTGGGGGGAATTGACAAGACCTCGCCATCCTAGACCCTCAGCAGTCGACTTGACGTCCGTATACATCTTGCTTCGTGAAAATCCCTTCCGCGAGTTGGCTGAAATTCGCACCATCCGAAGGGCTCCCGAGGGTGTCGAGGCCTTTTCAAGGGGTGTCAAGGCCTGGACTTCTCAGACAATCAGCCGAACAGGAGATGTCCGAGAACGGGCTCTTGCAGTCCGAGATCGCCCGGCTCTGCAGCGCCTGAGTTGCAGGGGGTGGGGGTGGTTTGCAGGATGCATCTTGAGGCACAGCTCCTGGATCCTGCTGATGACAATTGAAGGCACAAGCTGCTGGACTCCTTCCCGCCTTTTCTTTTTCCATATCGTGCCTTTCTAGCATTGTTTTTCTTGGAGCGAGTGCCTGTGGCACCTTTAGCTTCAGTGCAATGGATCCTTTTGTTGTGGGATCCTTTGGAGTAGGGTTCTTCTTTGGAGGAAGGGATTGCGCCCAGTAAGCTTTAGTGCATGGGTTCCAAAACCCTTGATTTGGGAAGGTGCTGGTCACTCGTGCTGGTCACCCTTCTTGGTCGGCTTCTTACTTCTCAGACGAGATTCTTACTTCAATTACTTCGCCAGGTGTTGAAGAGGATCAGAAGCAGATGATTCAATCTTTGGAGACGGAACACATTGAGTTGAAGGCGCTGACTCGGACTTCGCTCCAGAGCCGAGTCTTGCGTGAGGGAGCACAAGCGAAGCATCCGAGTTGAGGGGGTGACTCGAGTTGGGAGGTGGTAATTTCATCCAGCTGAGCTTCTTTTTCTTAGGTTGGAGGCCTTTGCTATTAGGTTGGAGGCCATCGCTTCATTGCTATTAGGTTGGAGGCCATGGATACTTGGTGCGCACGTCCCATCCACCACACGTGCCGTCGAACTCCTTGGCCTCTTCAGGAGACTATCAAAGAGCAGCAAGTAAGGCGACTGGGGTGATTGTTGGTGTCAGGTGATGATCGTTGATCAATGGTGGCAGGGATTCAAGGCCAGTCGCCCGGACCAGTTTGCATACGTTTTGACTCTCCCAAGACCCACTTCGAAGAGAGAGAGAGAGAGAGCTGCCTGTGGAATTTTACAACGAAGGGAAACCCGTGACACATCATGAAACATCCAAGTCCAGCAACCTTCAATCTTGATGGTGCTCCGCGAACACTGTAAGATGGTCGTAGTTTTCCAGGCCTTTGTCTATTGCCTAGAGGCTATCTCTGTGGCCACTTAGGACCATGGGCCGACATGTCGAGTGAACAGCATCTTACTTGATCCTCATAGTGCTAAGTTTCAATCGTAATGCCAGTCCCAGTCCAGTCTTTCCCACATGCTCTACCACTTGCAAGTCTCGCACCCTGAAAGTCTTTCAAAGCCCCCCCTGCAAAGTCGCAAAGGCCTCCTCTCTTTTGGAACTCCGCGGTTTTGACTCCCCGGCAGGTTGGAGCGCACCCTCGCGCGCCTCATGCGCCGCGCCGCCAATGCCGAAGCCGCGGCGTCGCACTGCGAGTCCGGCGCCGCGGCCGGCGCCGTGGAGGGCGCCGTGGAGGGCGCCGTCCGCCCGGCGCCGGCGAGTCCGTCGTCGGTGCGAAGGCCAAGCGCCACCGGCTTGAACCCCTTGGGGGCTGCCCCAGTGGAACTGGAGGAGCTCAGTGGATTGACTGGGGGGTCCTCAGGGTTGGTGCCGGAGGATGGATGAAGCTGAGAAGCTGGGACGCTTCCAACAGTGTTTGGGTGAGCCTTTCTCATGCAGTCTCAAACAGCTAGTATAGTTGTGCCACTATGGCAGGATGTTTCACTGCCCTTCACCACGGAGGCTTTTTTGGAGCTCTGCCAATCAGTGCCCCTTTCAAGAGGTTTTAGCACGAGTTCTGCACCAAGCGCAGGGACAAAGCAAAGATGCTTTTTACATCTTTTTACTGTACAAACTGCTTGCAGCCCGCTGCTTCCTCACTTCTCAGGCACACCCAAAAATGAATAGAGTTGATGGAGAAATTGGCATGCACTTCAACTTGTCCGCTTGAGCCGACACTGAGGCCAAGACTGGTCACATTGGAGTATATCATTTGTATTGTAAGGTAAAAGGGGAGGTGGAATTGGTTCAAGGCAGTTCAAGGGTTTGAATCCTTCGTTCACCTGCAGGGTAGGACTGCCAAGGGATGCAACCATGGACCTTTCACTTGAGGGATGTGACATGTCACGGACCAACCTATCGGCCTTGGGGACCATGGACCTTGGACCTTTACTCCAGCAGAGCCAAACGGACACGGGGTGAGTGTACACGTTTTCATTCGGAATGGAAGACTACAGTAAGTCTTCATGAAAGATGCGTCAAAGCACACTGTGGGACAGGGACATGTCGCTGAGTCAGGAGGAGCTTCACCTTCACAGAACCAGGCCGCCCAATTTCAAAGCTTCCTGGTCTTTCCAACTCCTTAGCTCCCGCCCAGACTCGAAAGTAGGTTGAGAGTCGAAAGTAAGGTTAGCTTTGTTTGTTGGGTCGCTTTGTACATCTTTTTTTTGGCACCTATTGCCTATGACCACTCTCCAATCCGCGCGAGGACACGGATTGGCCCAGTTCAGATCACAAGCTGCGTGGTGCAGAGGAGAAGGAGGGAGTTCTTGGGGCAGCAGGGGGTTGAGGCTTTGAAAGGAAGGTTGTGGGGGAGATCATCTCCCCTTTGACTTTGTGATCCTGCTTCTTTGTTTGTTTGTGTGGGACTTAACTGACGCTTGCCAGTTCAGACCCTTTGGACAACTCTAGTCGAGGCCTTTGTACCCAGGATGCAAAGGAACCTATCAAAGGGACGGGAGACATGATAGTTCAGATTCCAGAGAGAACACTCAGACGCTTCACATGGGACCGATCGGATCCAGACGCGAAGTCCAGTCGCGCTCTTCTTCTGTCACATTGCTGGGGAAGATATGCTCCGAGTCAACACTTCTACAAGCCCTGCTTGTGGTGAGAACGGAACTGCAGGGCTGGCTCTTCCCACCTGATGGATCAGAAGTCCAGCAGGTGCTCCTCCCAGAGCTGTTTGAATGTGTGATGCCTCCAAAACCATCGGCCCATAGACCTGCAGGTGATGCTTCCAGCACTGGGTTTGATGGAACCCGGTTCTTTGAGCCCAACCGCAATGGGGTTGTGCATAGCCGTGTTTGCAGGCCGATATGGATGGTGCTGCGCGGGTTGAGCCTCGGCCAAAAGTCTGGCAGTCCTCGGTCCGGGGTGGGCTGTGAGCTGTTGTGAGCGGCCCTTAAATGGATCCGAACAAGGTCAGTCCCACCTGAGACATTCAAAGCAAGCGCATTCGCCCAGTGATCTGGGAGCCGCATCAACCTGCGAGAATGATTAAGGTTGCGTGCTGATTCAGACATGTCTTGCATATCATGTGGTTCTCTGACCACGATGAACAGATTCTCGTCTGGGTGTAGGTCACCAAAACGCGAGCTTCCTACAGGTCAGACCTAGAACACCCACTGGGTTACGCCAAGGACCCTACTGTAAATAGTGGGACATTTGAAGATATGTTCACCAAGTTCATCATCATGTAGCCGACCCACAAATGGAGCAGATCAGAAGGGTTTATCATATTAGCTGCATTTGCCATGGTAAGCAGGAACCAACATCCAGCACTCGAAGGATCTAGCATCTACGTATTGTGGAACTGCTCACAGAGGGGCTTGCACCGTGCCTGGACATTTGGACTTGTTTGGGCACGGGGCACAACCGCTTGCGTGCTTGCGGCCGTGCCTCACCCCGGTCATGCCATCGTTTCAGGATGTCCAAGAGCGTTGTACCCAGCTTGAGAAGCTGCTGCGGGAACACTGCGTGCAGCTCTCCCTGCTCCCAGCGCAGCAAATGCAGGTGGCGGTCGGTAGCCGCATGGTTGGTCGGGACGAAATCACTCGGTGTGAAGATCTGAAGAGAGGAACATGAGAGGGACATGTCGGTTGTGGGGTTACCGCAGATGGCACCGGAGGAACTTGCTCCTGTGGAGGAAGATGGAGGAAGATCGCCCCTGGCGGGTTCGATCTTCTCAGATGTGGGTTTTGCATGGGTTTGGTCTTTCTTTGGACCCGCGTCTCGAACGCTTCGTCGAACGCTGCACGAAGCGTCTCGAATCCTTCGGAACTGTTTTTCGCTGTGTCCCTGAAAATCCTGCGAGGAAGAGGCGAATCAACTCATTACCACGGCTGAAAGCTTGGGCTGTCAAGTGGAAGCTGTGAACGCTCAGGCGAGTCCGGTTTGGACCGGTGGGTTTGGGTGGTCTCCAGGTGCCATGCACGGATACTCTTCTCTTGGAGCCTACTACTCTTGGCCACATGTGCCAAGAGTCCCGATAGACGCATTGCTAAGGGGAAATGGCGTTGAGATGTTGTTTGTGGATGTCTAACCACACCACACACCTATGCCATCCGCTCGGACCAGTTGCACCCTCCCTGGAAGGGAGAGACTCGGAAAATTAAACTCTTGGTCTTGCTGATTGGTCTTGTGATTTTCTTAAACTGAATCGCCACGATTTGCAGGACCGGAAGTGCTTGCGGATGAAAAGTAGTGTGTGTGCAACCAAGTGTGCCACATTTTCAGACACTGGAGAGTGTGAGTCTGGAAACACTAGTCGGCAATGCCAATCCTCGTGTGTCCGCCAGGTTTTGATTGTTTTAGGTTTCCTGACACTCCACACTCCACACTTTCCACATCTTTTTCACGACACTATGTTGTGTTTGTATCAAGGGATTGGAAGACGAAACCAGAGAAACGAGAACGAAGCCTCTTGAAACTGAAACGTTTTTGGATTGTCATGTCTTCTGGACTTCTGGGTCAAGCTATTCAAAGAAGTGGCTTAATGAGGCTTAATGTTTGTTTATCGCGTGTCCTTCCAGTGCGGCATCGAATTCCCACCGAACAAGCCGTGAGACTGCATGAAAACGTGAACCCAGCCAGATGGTGCATCACCTTTTTTTGACCTCAAGTTTTTCGAGTCTGAGGTCCACAGATTAATCCAAGGTGGCTTGACTTTTGAGGAAGACTTTTCGAAGGATGGGCCCAGCATTTATGCAGTCAATGAACAATACATCAAACCAATCACAGCTGCTGCTGGCAAAATGAGCTGGGCCTTGATGATGAATCCAGATGGACTTGACTGTGATTTGTTCATAACCCACGCTTGGCAGGAAGGTGTTTTTGAATTTACGCAAAAGGTGCGGACGGCTTGGCCTTGGAGAGCGCGTCATGCTTGGTGCTGCATGCTTGCAAATCCCCAGAATTTGAATATTTCTGCAATGATTCGGTGCCCAATACTATCACCTTTTGCACTTGCCTTGAGGAGTTCCACGTTTTTGTTGGTGGTGCCTAACCGGAATGCAAGTGTTTACACAAGGTTGTGGTGTGGATATGAAGCATACTTGGCGTTTCAAAGTGGCAAGATTATCCAGACTGCCAGGCCTCCGATTTGGCCCCAAGTGCTGATGGCTTGGTTTTTGATGTGTCCAGCACTTCTGGTAGGTATCATTGTCGGTATGATCATCATCAGAATCGAGGAGTCGAAGACTGGCTTGGCTGCCGTGTCATTGACACGAGCAATGAGAGAGCTAACGCTCCTGGCCGGTTTGATAAGCCAGAACATTGGTCACAACACACTATGTTTGATTGTGAACCATGTTGGGCTGGTAGCTTGTCTCGCCCGCCTGATTGATTCCTCGAGCTCACATCCGCTTGTCGCTGCTGACCCTCTGCTTCCAGAAGAGGATATTCCACTACAACATATCGAGCACAATTTGCTGCTTTTCTATTTCATTCTTGCCGAATTGGACCGGGTCCACTTGAGCGTAGCATCGCATGAAGCGGATCTGCTGGAAAACCAGTATCAAGGGTCACTTCGTCAGGCATGCTGTTCGGAGATCCGGGATGAGATGAACATACGCAGTGAAATTGGCGATCAAGTCGATGAAGTTGACAAAGTAATTCAAGTACTGTTGAGAGCGGGTATGACATCAGACGCACTACGAGATGCACACATGCACGGGGTAGTGCTCGAACATGCCGGAGTTGTCCAGTTGGCAATTCCTATGCTTGTGCTAGGGCCTCTCCTAATTGAGGGCTTCTTTGCTTTTGCCAGGCATATTGCTGTTTACTTTGCGCCTGACGATAGAATAACTCACATCGACTGGTTCCACTTGTTTCTACAGGCAGTTTCATGTATTGCACGGCTCAGCTTTGTGACTCTTCTATGGAGACGCTCCGCTGATGAAAGATGTTTTATGCTAAATATGATTGGAAAGATTGCTGGTCCAGCGTTGTTCATGGCGACGTTTCTGAAGACTACGACCACACAGCTTTGGCTATTGGCCTCTGAAATTCTTTATCACCTGTCCTTCGTGGTGGTTTGTGTTTTTGCTTTCTTGGGTATCCGTGGTACATTGAAGTTGCCCTTCGGCCCGTGGTTTGCTCAGATCATGTTGACCAGGATCATCTCATGCAAAGGCACCAGTTATCAACGCTCTATCATGGAGCAGGAGGAGTTGTGTAGTGACGGGTCAGAAGCATCGTCGAGTCAGATTGGAGGTTCATTCTGGGAGATGAGTATGTATACAACGCAGCAGGAATCCATGGTCGCGGTCACACAAACCAGGGCCTAGAGGGGCGTCTACCCAGCTCTCTTGCTCTCCATCGGGCCGTCCCTTTGCTGCTTTGCCTCCAATGTTTTTGCACCTTTCAGACTTCAGCAGGCACTGAAAAGAGCTGAAGTCCGAAGTGGTGACGGGTATGAGGGATTATGGCAGATGGAGAGGCGGAGACCCCGTGGCCAGAGCAGGGAGCAAGGTGTCGCTCAAGCGACCGTGCGTGGAAGCGGTTGATGAAAGTGTTTGGGTTGGTGGAGGAGGTCTTGGATAGTCTCTGCGGGTGCAACATGGCAACATGTCATGCAGTGTGGCCCAGGCATCATTGCTCTTGTTTGGTGTTTTACACCCCCGAAAGGCTGGGACCAAGAAGATCTTGAGTCACATTTTTTCGAAAAGATGTAACGAAGCATGGCGGCTGCAGAGTTTTTGTCTGCAGTAGTTTTGGGCACAAGCCTGAATGAGACCTATTTTAGGTCAAAACTAGTCGTAGAGCAGCCCATACTTAACGGCTTGAGAAGTGCCAAAAGAGCGGTACGTCCACCCACACCAGGTGCGCCTCTGCCGCTGCGGCAACGTGTTGATGGACGACGCCCGGTTCTGCCGGAAGTGTGGTGGACAATGGACGCCCGGTGAAGCAGGCGACGTGGGCGGACGTTTGTCCGTCATTGGTTGCTGTGTGGGCCGTGTTTTCATGACGGAGTGATAGACAAGTGATAGAAAATGGATGAACATGGTACTTTCGGCCCATTTAACATGGCCTGCAACGTGAGGATCTCGATTCCAATGTTCAGCTCACCTCCTTGAGCTCTGAGCTTCATCTCCTGAAAGATCGACGCTTAGAGGATTTTAGAGTAGAGGAGGTGTTGTAGATGGTAGATGTATATATAAATATATAGTTGTTATATAACATTATTGTTGTTATTGTTCTTCCAAACTTTTGTGGTTGGAATTCCGCAGGTGTAGAGTTGAGGATTCCAGGATTCCCAGTCATTCAGTGAATTCTTCTTGCAGAACAGCTCGCAGCGGTTCTAAAGATATCCCAGAAAGGCTGCATGAGGTCTCCACTTGGTGTAGCACTTGCATTTTACCAGGTGGCGGAGGATATTCCCAGCATTTCAATAATTGCCCCCAGAAGCAGGTCTCTGAAAAAAGAACACAACGTGCCAGCGATGAACATTCTGAATGATGCCTAATTGGCACTTTGGAGGTTCCAGTCCGGGTCTATGCTGTCATTCCTTCAGCACCAGTCAGATCTACCACGACCCCACCAGTCGCCTCACCATTCTTGAAGCAGTTTTGAAATACGGCTTCTGCCTCCACACACGCTGGCCGGAGCTGCACAGGCGGCGCCAGTTCTCAGCAGCTGGCAGCGGAGGTGTCGTCACTGCGCATGAAGATCCAGGAGTCGGAGCAGGCGCCGGCGGCGCCGGGGGTGAGGGAGTGGTGTCCGCAGACTTCGGGTTCCCATTTCGGGCCCCCTGGATGTCTGAAATCTAAGTAACATAGCAACAAATGTTCTGGAATCCAGAAGTGCTTGCACGTGGCGCCGCGTGGCGGGACATCTTCACGGGTTTTCGCCCATGTCTCCAAGGTTCTGCGCGAGTTCACCAAAGAGTCTGGTGCTTCCACTGGCACTGAAAGCGTGGAGCCCGAGCAGGTTACCCTCGACGGTGCGTCATGCTTATGGCGGAATCGCAAGGGCATCGCCCCATCCCCGTGTCTTGAGAGGGTCCGTATTCCTTCTTTTTTGATCACTCAATTCTATTCCTCTTTTGCGTAGGTGGAGGGTTGGGGTTCAAAGCTGATTTGGGCCCCCTGCAGGTGGTGAGCTTGCTGTGGAAAACGTCCGAAGAAACAAATCCTCGGCCTGACAGCTGGATCAATCCTCATCTTCGGGAACCTCTCGTAGACGTGGAGGTTCAAGCAAGCCTCCCAACAGCTTCGAGCACTCCCCAGCAGCCCGAAGTCCTGTCAACATCCCCCAGCAGACGCCGCGAGGTTCCCACGCGCGCGACGCGGCGCGCGTCCTGTTTTGAGCGCTCAGAAGCGCCAGACGCCAGTAGCTATAGAAGCTATAAGTAGCAAGGTACCTTACTAGTATCTAGTAACAAGCTACTAGTAGTAAGGCACCTAGCTTGTCGTTTGTCGGGCCCAAGGCAGCTTCACCATGTCACGGATCTTCCGACCGAAGGATGGAGCGATGCTCCAGGCGCCCGGTTTTTCCCACGGATCGTCCGCGCACGAGATCTGAAGCCTTGAAAGAACGGGTGGATCTTCATCCTGCCCAGCGGCATGAGCATGCTTCGAGTGACTCTATGGCACTCTATTCTATAGCTATATACAAGCAAATGGACCAGAATGGAGCCATGCTGTCTCACCTGGGCGAATCAGGCCACATTAAAGATGTTAAAGCCGTTTTTTGGGATGGATCGGTTGGAGCCACCCAGACAAAAGTCCTTTCCTGAAGCTCATGAGATGCTGAATTTTACCTCCTGGCCACATGAGCGCAGGTGGAGGAGATCTCACAAGAAGAGCTGCAACAAAGGGACGAGCTCTTACGGCAGAGGACACGGCTTTCCTCGTCCAGTTTTGATTAACCTTCCCCTCGTCCTCGATCGCTCAAGGGATCGGTTTTCCCGCATTCTTTTGGGCGGTAGGAATTCAATGACGTTCAATCCAAAAATGTAGAACATGAGTGGTAACATGAAGATTTCAGTGACGTTGGGGACGTTTTTGCCTTCGACCTCGAAGCAGCCAAAACGACCGAGGTCCTCAGGACTTCCTACTCGTCACGTGTGAAAAAAAAGCACCACACCCGGCCTCACCGGATGGTGTGGTGCCTCGAATGAGCTCAGGAGGCACCTCGAAGAGCTCAAGCAGGGGAAGCTGCTGGCCGAAGCGAAGCTTCTGGCGCAACGCTGCATGGTGCCGTCGGCGAGAACGACGGGGCGAACACGGGAGATGAGAGGATTTGGACGATCCCTTTCCGTTCGTTGGATGAACTCGCTGGTTGAGAGGGGCCCTTTGACTTGAGTGTTGATGTTGCTGTATGGAGCTGCAACAAGAGGCTCTCACCGTATGGTTGGTGGGGACCAAGCATCTATTCTTCACATGAATCAATGCCTCCACTTCTTGTGTGGGACTTCATACCCGGCAGAACCCCTTCGTCAACCCAGCGAAGCGTTCGTTTCCGCACCCGGCAGAACCCGTTGCGGTGCCCCAAACGGCGCGCCTCGAGGACCTGTCCAAGGAGAGCGGAGTCGACGTGATGGCGGCCTTGGACGAGGAGGCGGCGCGAGAGACGTTGAGGGCAAGAGACGTTGGGTGGTTTTGGTTCTGTGAATGGCTGCGAAAAGAAACGTCGCACTTGAGTGGAACTTACTCAGTTGGACTGCATTATGATGAAGCATGTAGCTTTGAGAAAGGGCAGGTGTGAGAAAGGGCAGAGGGAGGATACCGAACCGACAGAACATGACAAACTGAGTGTTGTCCAGGAATGAAAGACTTTACATCGTGCAGCAGCCACAGTCGCAAGGTTGTTGTTCTTGGCATCTGGACCGCTTTCTGTGGCTACGTGACAGGTAGGTCGTGGACAACATCTAAGTAGCTCGTGCCTAGCATCTAACAACCCCGTGCCACAAGGGTCTTTGGAGATGTCCGCACCAGGCGCTGACCTGCTTTGGGTGTGATGGGGTGAACTGCCAATACAGGCGGGGGCCGAAGCCAGCGACTGCGGCGTGCATGCATCGGTCCCTCTGCCAAAACACAAAAGAGTTTGTTATATATATATATATAATATAGGCAATAAGTTTTTGTTTGGAAATGACAAACATCCACTCATTACCATCAGGGTTTCTGGCCACTTGTGGCAGACTTGTGTGCCAGAAACCACCTGCAACACTTGCAACAGATCCGCATCCCAGGGACATTCTGTGCCTCCTAACTTTGAGAAGCGCTTTGAGGCGGCAAGTGGAAGTCCTGCAAGAGATGGTGAAGACCTTGCGAGGGCTTTGTGGTCAGCTGAGCGAACGGCTGCAACAAGCCACAGGCCTGCAACAAGCCGTGGCTTTGAGCTGCGGTGTTCTTGCATTTGTAGAGGAAGAGATCCAACCAGCTGACGGGAAGTGGCGGGGGGGGCTGGTTGCTTTCGGAAAGGCGACCGATCGTTGTAGTTCCAAAAGAATGGCCTTGTTCGTCCCATCTGGATGGAGTGGATGTGACCGGGGCAACCCCGACCTTCCTCCGTTCGTTGGGCACCCCGACATGGATCTGCCCTGCCTATCCCTTTTTACTCAACGGGACTTCGACGGATTTCTCATTTCTGGGACGAGTCGAACTGCCAGGTGAGCACTTGCAGATGTCCATGGCCTTGACCTCCATGCAAGGGTCGCTGGAAGCAGCCGCCCAGGCACTTGAACTGCCTCCACTTGCCGCGCTCCCCCGTTCCGCACCGTCGCTTGTGGTCGGTGGTCGGTGGTTTTCGTGGTTCCGTGTCAGTGGTCTCAGAGCGAGTCTGAGTGGATGTGAACTCTGAAGTTGGACATGTGGAGCGAGTCTGAAGCGAGTCTGTTGCGTTGCCTTTCGACTCCTCTCGACTCGTCTCGGACGTACCGTACCACACGTTGACAACCAACCCCAATGTTTGAACGAACAAGATGTTCCTGAGCGAGGCTTGATGCATATTGGATCCCCTCATTGGAGAGGACGAATAGCATGGAACTCCGATGGTCGGGGTGTTCAGCGACTTTAAAGGATAGCTCCGATGTTTGACATGTCTTGCAATCTATCGAGTGGGAATCTATGTGCTTCGTCCAAAACTGCAGGGCCAAACACAAGCCACAAAACCAGCTCAAAGACCTGCTCTAGAAACCAGGTAGAATCCCAGTCCACTGATCACCTGAAAAGGTAGATGACTTGCACAGCTTTCTTGAATCCTGGCATTCCAATGAAAGCTTTCTTGAATCCTGGAGACTGGCGGTCCAATAAATCCACGATGACTTCTGACATTCCCATCTTTTTTGGGGAATCCAATCTTTTTTTGGGAATCCAATGACCATTAGACCAACTACGGGCTCTGCAGGCGGTGGAGCAAACGAGCCAGGAGAGGGTCGGGGGGGCGAGGAGTGGACAGTGGAGCGCAACAGAAAGTACACTACAGTAGTGCCTCGAAGTCCAAAGACTATATAGATTTCCTCAGTGAAGTAAAGAAAGTTCTTTTTGTCCTAGTCTTTGACTCATAGGGTAGTATTAAGGATATTTTTCTTGCAGGTTAAAAGCGGATCATGAGCAATTTGTTAAGTTTTGATCCCTTTTTCTTGGAATTAGTGTCGAGGGAAGAAGTTTTGAAAGACCTTGAGCCCAACAAACGACCATGAATTGTTGGGGATTCTCCATGTGAGGTGATGTAGGATTTTAAGCATCCAACAATCCTCCAGAAACAAAGGAACTGGCTTGCCATCTTTTCAGAATTGTTATGCAACCTGTCTACCTGAACCCTCCCCCCGCAGGTTATTTGAACCCTACTAACTTTTGATACTGGAATCTTATCTGCTGCATCTTTTTGGACAAGAGGCACCTTGATTCCGCGTTAGGCCATCTCCGGGTCCTCGGTACATCGCCGTTTTCACACGCCGTCCTCGACGTTCGCCTCGTCCGCGCACGTCAACGGACGGTCGACGGTCCGTAGCGGCCCAATCGACGTCCGAGGAGGTCGATTGGGCCGTGGACTCGGTGTCCGGCGGCGAGACGGGTGGCTCGACGGGTGGCTCCGGGGGGGTCACCTTGGCCGAGGCGAAGGCGGGTGGTCCGGTGGGAGGAGACAGGCAGCGGTTCCTTAAACAGGGGATGCCGTGGTTGGACTGATGTATGACTGATCTCAGGTGGTGTGAGATGTTTTTTGTGAAAAGAAGGAGGGAATGCGGTTGAGGGCTTTCTTGCGAAGTAAAGTAGGGCGAACTCCTAGCAGGTGGGTCTTCATGTGGTTGTTCTTGAGGACATGGACTTCAGATGACTTTAGTGTTTGTTCTTTGCGAGACATGAATATCTTGTTGCTTGGGAGGTCAGCACAAAGATAAGTATACTGTACTGTTTGTGTTAGATTCACAGTGTCGAGAGGCAGCTTCGCCAGAAGGGTCTTCTTGGCTCCGCTTGTTCATGGAGCCTAGCGTCGCTGCCGCTAGGCCATCCCACCCTGGACGTGATGTGAAGTACAGTTGTTTGTTGTGACGTGGGTTCCGCGGGTTCCGTGGGGTTGTTTGTATACCTTGTTTGTTACCGACTACCGATGCTGCGTATCGGGCTCGGCTGGCCCAGCAGTTTCTGGCGAAGGTGACATGGCGGTGTCAGGGATACTGGGCGCTTCCTGGTTTGCACATGCCTTCGATGGTGGGCAAATCATGGACTTTGAACGCATTCCTTCTCTCCTCGAAAGTGGCTGATCGAATTTTGCCCCACCTGTGTGACAACCCACGATACAGACTTCACGCTTCAAGACTATTGCTTTGAGTTCAAGCCTCGGTAGAACAGCATCATGCATTTGAACAGGCCATTCGCCTGCTCCTACCGCTCTCGTAGTCGCCATAGGCAGCATGGGTCTCGTTGTGAACCACCAGGCTACCCCCACTACCGTCTCCTGCGCAGCACACAGACACACACACACACCTTTGACCGTCTCTGACCTGTGCTGTGAGGCGCAGCTGAAGCGCGTGCTCCGTCAAGTGACCACCTCGTTGCAAGAAACGAAGCGGCGCTCAGTCTTCTGGCGGCTCTACCAGATGCTCGGCTCCTTTCCGCGAAAGCCAAGCCAGTCACGGACCTGTAGGAAGGTGTGGGACCTGGGTGGATTTTCAAGGGGGGGGGATGCTGTGAACAAGTGACCCTATCGCAGGCCTTGACCAGGTTCACGCCATGTACTTGTAGAAAAACTTCAAGGTTCAAGATCCTTGTTGGGGGGCAGTGATCAACCTCAGTGCTGACTTTGAGCCCGCGCGAAAAGACCACACATGTTTTCACAAAGCTTCGGCTTCGGGGTGTGGCACGGACACCGCACCACCGGGCTTGGTGGCTGGGCGGCGAGTCTCAACCGTAGGGGCCTTGTAGAGTTGTTGGCTCCAGCGCCTCTCAGCTCCCAGGAACAACGGTGCCACTCACCGCCGAAAGCTGCTTGACCCAAGGAATTGCTGCAGTTCGGAGCTGTGGCCCAGGCATGGCATGATGTTGGAGTAGGTTAGATAAAGGAGATTTTTGTTTGATGTTTTGACAGGGAAGCACGCCTGGGAGATGAGCTGTTCGTTTATAAAACCCAAAGGTTTAGAGTTTAGACCCGTCAATTTTTTTGGAAGCGCAACATGGAGAAACCATATTTGTTTGGGGGAGTACACCCTTCTGCCACACAGCTATTCTAGTCGGGGTCCTGAAGAACCCCCTTGGCTATTGGTGGGAGAGGTTTCCTTCGGATCACCACATCACCTGCCCAGCATGTGCGTCGCCTTCTTCGCCTTTGAGGTCTGAGATGCAAGAGAAGCGAGCGGCGCTTCTGAACAAGACCTATGCACACCTGTACAAGCGCCCGAGCGAATTTCAGTGGCGGAGCGGGTTTTTGCTGGGTCGGTCGAGTTGTCGAGCCTTATCCAGTAATCCATTTCCATGAAGATTACAAACACTAGTTTTGGGGATGGTCATTTGGAGACACATTGAGCTTTTGTTGTGACCGTGGGACAGACTTCTCAGTGATGAGCCATACCCGCTTCTGTTGTTTGGACAAGCTTTCTTGACATCAGGGCAGCCTCTTGAGAATGGACATGAGGACTTTCAAAAGCTCATGGTCTCCATGGTCCCCATTTGATCACCCAACTCTCCGTGCTTCCTGTTGGGGCCCCGCGCGCCGCGGCCGTCCGAGGTTGGACCCCGCTGCGGACCTCGGGCCGTCGCTAACGGCCCCCCCGCCGGTACAGGCCGAGGTCCCTCGGGCACCGCCCGTGCTGGCTCCAGCGGCGCCTGCACACAATCCGAGGGCGAGGTCTGGGGGCCTCAACGGGGGGCCCCAACGGGGGGGGGGGGGCTGTTGTTGCCGGACCTGGGGCGTTTGAGATGCTGGAGAGTATTGAAATCTGTTGGAGATCCCTCCAGTGGACATGGAACATGTTGTACCCCAGCTGTTGCTGGGTACACCTTCCGACTTTCCCAACACCCGACGAGGCCCTGTTTCTGTTGGCCTCCCCTTCCTCCGTGTGCAGGTCCTTCTCTTTGCAGCCAACGCATCCGTCCGCGGAGAAACCCCTGTCGGGTGCTGTGCCTTCGTCGCTGCCGGTCTCTTGGTTTCACGGGTGGATCCGTGGTGGGCTTATAGGTCGGATCCGTGGTGGATTCGTTTGCGGGTTTTCGATGAAAAGAATCGTATTGTTTTTTTTTTCTCAGAGTGGATAGGCTGCCGGGCCTAGCCCGGAGCGAGCTTTTCCCCGGAAGAGCGAAGCTGCTTCGACGCCACCGGAAATTCAGGGGGGTTCTTTTCCCAAACAGAAACAAAGACACATGTCGGAATCGCTCAATGGGGGTCTCTTTTTGGACCTTTTGTGACAAGTTGAGTGCTGTTCTTGACCCAAACATTTCAACTGGCCTAAAGTGGTCTGCAAACAGATTGACGAGCAATTCACGTAGGAGGACATCCGCTGGAGCTTTCCAAGCACACCATACACCATCCTGTGAAATCGAGGCTCTTAGGTTGGAGGCACTAGGGTGGAGGCCGTTGCTAGTAGGGTGGAGGCCATCGCTAGTAGGGTGGAGGCCATCGCTCTTAGGTTGGAGGCCATCCCTACTAGGGTGGAGGCCATTGCTAGTAGGGTGGAGGCCATCGCTAGTAGGTTGGAGGCCATCGCTAGTAGGTTGGAGGCCATCGCTACTAGGGTGGAAGCCATCGCTCTTAGGTTGGAGGCCATCGCTAGTAGGTTGGAGGCCATTGCTACTAGGGTGGAGGCCGTCGCCCTACTAGGGTGGAGGCCATCGCTCTTAGGTTGGAGGCCATTGCTAGTAGGGTGGAGGCCATCGCCACTAGGGTGGAGGCCATCGCCACTAGGTTGGAGGCCAATTGATAGATTTACATAAACAGAAAATGGCCTGTCTGTACCTCCAGGTCATCGACCGGCACCATTCCAAGAATGCAGCGCCCCTCTCGGCCCGGGCTTTGGCGCCAGCGGCCCGGTTGGAAAGCAGCAGCCGTTTTAATCCAGCCTCAATCGAGATCCCTTCATGGGGTTCAAACAGGGTGGCTGTTGGGCACAGCCATGGAGTGAGCATGAATCTTCAACTGAATGAACAATGGTATTAGAAGAAACATATTGGTACACCATGGCCAGCTGCCTTGGCTAGTTGGGTTGCAGTTATGGACATAGTCTTGAGGGTTGCCAAGCCGCGCACAGAACACCGACCAAGCAGTTGACACACCTATGATGCTGACAAAAATCAACCACACGAAGGCAACAACCTCGCAGGACGCTGAAATCTAGACAGCCCACTGCCCAATGTCCACACAATCCTTTTCGACTGGTTTGATTTCACCACCAACTCACCACCTCATGATCCCTAAATCAGCGCAAAGCTTCTCTCCCCCTTCTTGGCTTCCGATTCCCCAAAACGTCCGCAGACCTCCGCGCCTCGAACGCCCGAGGTGGTGCGCGTGGAGTTCGGCGATGAGATGGCCCCTCCGGCCACGTCGCTGGGCGCGGCGGTGCCGCGCGTGGCCGGCGCGGTCTTCTCACCCAAGAAGACCTCGGCGCGGCGGCCTTCCAAGAGGCGATGGTTTGGGAGGGGGATGAGGTTTCTTTTTCCTCAATTCTTTCTTAAGATGTGTCCGCCCTTTGTGTCACTGCTGGTGTCTGACCTTTTCTGCTGGCGATGCAACATTTCTATTAATTTGTCTCCCATGCAACTCACCAAACAGGTTCACCTGTGAAAGGTTCTTACTCCTTTGAAAGGGGTCATGTCTTCGGGATTGCATTCCTGCCACACTGTGTAACTCTCTCAGCTTTTTTTCCTTTTCGGGCAAGCGTTGGATGAATGACCGGATTGGATTCCGGCGGCGTGGCAGGGATCTCTCTGTTCAGTTTGGACGGAGGGCATACGTCAGGCACCAAAAATCCATTTCATGTCACGTCCTCTGCTCTTCATGATTTTATTTCTTGTCCTCACGTGGTCAGCTCCCCGGCATCATGTTCGCGCTTTAATATTAATTCCCCAAACAGTTTGCTGTTAGGGCTTTTCCATTCTTTGTTAAGATGTGTCCGCCCTTTCTGTTCATTTGTCTCCCAGGTGATTTCTTTACTTTTGTCTCCCAGGTTCGGTGCCT